TAGGAAACAGCACCCATTCAACAAGCAGGCTGGAGGCATAATTATATAAAGACACATAAGGGTAAAAACAGTAATTTTCAATGGCGATTAGAATTGAATACTTAGATCTGTGGATCTTTATTTTGTATAATATGAAGGTAGGAACATGAAAAAGCAGAACAAGCAAGTTCTCAAACTACTGTGCATCATAAATCTTGTGAGTATATTGTGGAGACATCTACTGTGCATGCATTGCATTGCAGCAGAGATGGAACACTATTCTCATATAGCTCTGTTCAAACGAAGTGTCAATTTTGCTGCTGGCATGTAATGTAATCCAAGGCAGTATTTTCTTCAAAATTATTGATAATCTGCTCTGGCCAGTGGCAGCATATGGTTAAAGATCTCAAACACCTGGCCTGGAACAGGAGAGAGAATAAAAAACAAATAGGATACAAATGCCTGATTATGGATTATAAAGTCAAAGCTGTTTTGCAGAAGGAAGCCATTCAGCTTGTTGTACCCTTGCTGGCTCTCTGCAAGAGCAATAAACCTATTCACACTCTCCAGCCTTTTCCCCTTAATCCTGAATTTCTTTTCTCTGCAGAAAATTTATTCAATTCATTTTTGAAGCTCTGGATGAACATTACCAGATAACACAATTTGAAATTATCTGTGATGCCTTCTATTGTTAAATAACCCATCAAACTACAAGCTCAAACTTGCATAAGATATTGGAGGAGCTTAAAGTAGGGGACACTTTTAGCTGTTCAAACTTGTACCAGCACCAATTGCTGAACAAGGGCTCTCGCTATTACTTCCATGTTCCTGACCTTCCCCCATATCTTTCAAACTGCCTATTTACATAATTAATTATTCCACTTAACACTGTTGTAGACATGGTCTTTCACATTGGAGTCAGGCAATAAAAGATGGGAAATCTCCTGGCTTGTCAAACCCAGCTTTGGGCAAAGAAATACCGAGCTGCAAGATCTTCATTCTAAAGGGAGGGGAGGTGCAGATGGATTGCCTCTCACAATCTGTATACTAACTCCTGCCCCCAGCCACTTCCAATGGCCTCTCCTGCATCTGTGCTAATCAATGCTATCATCCATTACCATAGCCCCTTACAGCCCAATGCCAACTTAGAGACAACTCATGACCCCAAGCCACAACCCTTTGTCTTTACAATGTACATGTCAACTGAACCAGTATCCACCATTGATAGATGTCAGGAGGCACGCCAAAATGAAATTTAAAGCATTCTAAATATCTAATGCAGTTCAACACACCCAAAAAATCCTATTTGTTAAAGTTATTCAAAACATTTAAACAATAAGTGCTTAATCCTCACAAAAAAACTTGAGTCCACAATCCAACAATTAATCCTTAAGTAATGTCTGAGCTGTCAAACTGTGATCTTACAACCCAATTCCCTCCCACTCCTACTTTGATAATGATGGGTGGTGGGAAGCAGCCCAGTATTAATAATAATATAGTCAGGGAGTGTGTTCACAAAAAGCTTTTAACTGCTAAGGCAGATTATTTTTTCTTAATTTTCAGACAGAGTTAGCTCTGTTTAATTTTTAAAGGGCAGAGGATTTAAATAATTTGATAGTTCTTCACAATGTATCTGCTCATCAAGAACATTAATGACTTCTCTAAATATTTGTTACTCCCACACTGTGGGATAAGTTATTTTCGCTAGCGAATATAATGCTGAATATGAAGAGATGTTAATTTAACTAGCTTCACTGAGTTCAGGATTCATGGAAATAGCAGTTACTGGTTGCCCCCAACTTCCTGTTTCAGTTCCCAACCACCACCTTGGAAGATCTTTCAGTCTTCATAGCTTTTAGTCATGTCTATTTCAGAAGCCATTTATGGCAATACATTCTATGTTCTAATAACATTTTCTGACAATATTTCTCACTTTGTTTCTAATTTAAGCCAAAGTACAACCTACATCTGTTTTTTTTTTGCTGAACCATCTTAGAACAAAAACACTGATCTCAATATTAAATGTTACCAGAATGCAAACCACAATGTGCAAATTAACACTTGCTCATTCAGTGTGATACTGGAAATGCAATGTCATTGTGCATTTGTGACCACACTATTACCAAGTTGCTCAAAATTACTTCTGATTAAACCTAGTTGGCACTTCATAAAGGAAATGGATTATGTGACTGGAATAGGTGCTATAGCTGTACTGGAACAGCTTGGCTAGGGGCACATTTCTTCAATATTATTTCCAGAAGGTTGTCAAAACCCATAGTCTGACCAGCATACAGTGCTTTCAACTGTTTCTTGCTATCACATGGAGTGTATCAAATTGGCTAAAGGCTGGCAACTGTGACACTGGGGTAATGAGGATGCCGTTTTGGATCATATACTTAGCACTTGTGGCTGAAAATTGTTGCAATTACTTCAGCTTCATCTTTTGGACTGATGTGCTGGATCCCTCCACATTAAAGATGGGATATTTATGGAGTGTTCTGTTGCACTGAGATGTTTAATTATGGCCACAACTAATTGTGGGTGAATTGCAGATCTTTCATATGATCCATTGGTTCTGCTTAGCTCAGCATTTCGCATGCTGCCTATGCTGTGTTGCACACAAGTAATTCTATATTGAAGCTTCACCAGGTTGACCAATCTCATTTTTAGGTGTTGTAGTGATTGGAACCAGATAGACCTCGTTGACTACGAGAACTTTGATTGGGGCTTTTAATCCGGGCCAATCAGGAAAGCTCTAGCTGCCCAATATAACAAGGAGATTCTCCTCAGCTCAGGGGACTGACTCCGAGCTGTCTGTCCACAGCCAGTGTACTGTGCACAAGTAAATAAAGGGTGACTTGGTGACGGGATATTGGCCTCTGTGCAGTTATTTCAGGTATAAAAACAGAAATTGCTTGAAAAGCACAGCAGATTTGGCAGCATCTATAGAGAGAAATCAGAGTTAACTTTTCAGGTCAAATGACCCTCCCTCAGAATCTCATTTTTACCTATGCTGGCGCTGCTCCTGACATGTGCTCCTGCACATTTCATTGAATGTTTGACTGTAGTTCATCTGCAATTTCTCTCAATTTGACAAATAGTCCACAACTGAAACATTAAGTCACCTGTTCTCTCTGGTCATATTATCTGATGTGTTTGGTGTTTCCAACAGTTCCATTTTGTTTTACTCTTACTATATATGCTCACGAGTTCATTAGCATGCAAACACAGGAGAATAACAAAAATATTTAACTGGAACATCCACATTAATTCTTGAATGGCATCTGAATAGATAACATGACAGCAGAAAGAATACAATGTAGACAAACATTTTCACAAGATACCCAACATGAAAAACTATAACTGTTTAATGTTCTTTATAATCAAAACTTGAGGCTTGTAAGATAATCTCATTTAACTGTTTTAACATTGGTGCTGATCTGATATTTCTTTAGGATGCTTGTAACTTTCTTCACGGTGCTTGACAGCTTCAGCATTTACTGGAGAATTGAAGCATATAGTCATATCACACAGGAGAAGCTGGGTCTGCACTGAAATGCAAAATGGTATCAAAAGGGTTAAGCATGGAACATGAAATTCCTAATGGTTTCAATATTCTTATTTTGATTTCGAAAAGTATCAATTTCTATTTGCATTAGTAGTAATTTATTTTTGCTATTAATAGTTTGAATATTTTCAACAGGGTTCTAAAAGCTCTAGCTTATGTAGTGTAAACACAAGGTTATTGCTTGTGTCACAGAAACATGTCCATTGTGGGATGGCACTCAAATGGTGCTGACTGGACCAGGAGAACAGGCATTCAGTTAATCCTTTGTCTCACATTAACCCTGAGAATCAAACCTATTGAATGTAACTTAATTGAGTGAAATACTAAGTCATTTATACTTGGCAAAAAGTCAAGCTTCTGTATGCTAAGATTTTAGGAACCCTATGTTAAAATTTTAAGGATTTTATAAGAGATAATAAATAAGTACATAACAATTGCTGCAAGAAGAGACATGCTGTTGAAACTTTTTGTCTCGCACTCAGTGGGACTAAATCAAGATTATCACATTTCAAATACTGCAATTTATATAGCATAGAAAAAGGTGGGCGTTGGTTAGCAAGCTGGCTGTGCTTGGTAAAGGTGTTGCTTTGGAGAATATCTGGGGAATTATTGTCCCCCATGTTTTTGTTCAATTAAAAAAAAAGTTGCAATGTCTGGAGATGTTCCTGTTGCCTTTAGAGGACAGATCGCTGCATCCCAGATAGCTTCTGCAAGCCAGATTGAGCCACGTTTGAGCCCAAATGATAATCGTAAATTAGTTGCCAGTATAATTCTGAAAACAGTCAGCAAGTGCCATCCAATAAATAAATTGGCATTAATAAGAACAGCAAAGCATGAAACTTACTCAGAGATGGTAAGAACTGCTGATGCTGGAGTCAGAGATAACACAGTGTGGAGCTGGAGGAGCACAGCAAGCCAGGCAGCATCAGAGGAGCAGGAAAGTTGACGTTTCAAGGGCCATTTCTGAAGAAGGGACCCGACCCGAAATGTCAACTTTCCTGTTCCTCTGATGCTGCCTGGCCCGTTGTGCTCCTCCAGATCTACACTGTGTTACATCTAAGGCATGAAACTTACGCTTTTTTCAGTTTCCACTAGAAACATTTTTTAAACAATTTTTACCACTTTTTAATTTGGTGCTAGGAAGCTTGTCTAAAAAAAATGCTGTTGTTGACCAACATCACAAAGAAATATAAGTTGGAGGCATTCTTTCACCTTCATGATAGTTAGCACTATCTGCAAACTGTACACTACTATCTAGAACATGAGCAACAATATAATGGGAACATTACAACCTCTGATGATTTGTAATTTTTCTGAGTTCATCCCTGCTTTTCATTTATTGAATTACAGCTATTCGGGGGATGTTACTTTTGTCCTGTTTAATAAAATTCCTTGCAAAATACTGCTCAATTCATCTGCTATCTCCTTATTTTCCATTATTAATTCCCCTGACTAACTTGCTAAAGTTCCACTGCTTAGTTTGTTGATTATTTTCTTATTAAAATATTCATAGAAACATTATCATGTTTTTATATTTCTGGCTAGCTTTTTCTCATACACTGATTTTTTTCCCTCCTTATTAAATTTTTAGTCATTTCTTGTTTATTTTAATATTCTGTCCAATCTTTTGATGTGCCATATGTCTTTTGCATAGTTATAAACTTTTCTTTTAAGTTTGATGCTATGTTTACCCAAGCTTCCTATCCTTCCTCAATGTGCAGTATTTTTCAATATTCTGGTATGAATCCATATCATCCTGCAGCCATGCCTCCGTAATGGCTGCCAAAAGATAATTATTTATTTCTAGGTGCACTCTCAATTCAGTTTTGTTTTGAATGCTATGTGCATTCTGATACAGAGTCTTTTTATTTTATCCTTTTATTCTATTTGTAAGTTCCAATCTTATCTGCTAGTTTATTTTGTACCCTTTAGCCATTCTGTCATGGTATTTCATTCTCATTTTCATAATTTTCTCTTTTGCATTGTCTCCACACTTTAATTTACCAAATCTTCCCAAATTTTCCAACACTATTGAGGTTAAAATCCTCTCTACTCCCTGAGTGATGTCGCTTGCAAAATCACTGGACTCAGCAGGATTCAGGTGGAATCTGTCCTAATGGTGCCAGTGCCCTATAAACTGAAACCCACTTCTTCCATACTGGTCTTTGAGCCATGCACTCATCTCTTATCTGATTGGCTCTGTGCCAATTGGCACAAGACTCAAGTAATAATCCAAAAACTGTGACCTTTGAGGTTTTGATTCTTAATTTGGTGCCTGTTTCCTCAAACTAACTTTGCAGAATCTCTTTCTTTTTCCTGCCTATGTTGATGGTACGTACATGAACATGATCACTGGATTTCTGCCCTCTCACTGCCCAATCGTGTCCAGTTTGAGCAGCTATCCTGAACTCTGGCACCTGGCAGGCAACATTGCCCCCTGGATTCAAGTTTGTAATTGCAGAGAACAGTGTCAATCCTTCTGACTAATCTGTCTCATACCACCAACACATTCCTTTCTGCTTCCCCCACTTGAATGGCTTCCTGTACTACTGTGCATGGTCTGGTGGCTCATCTACCTGGCAATCCCCACTCTCATCCAAACAATTGGTAGCATTCCGTTAGGGTTTTGGCTATGAAGTGGATGTATTAGAGTGCTATGAGCGAAGATAAAATACCTGTTGGGTAAGAGGAAATATCTAAAATAAATTGTGGAAACAAACAGTATGACAAGGCTAGAAGCAGAAAAAAGCGTATTACGATTCACAATGAACATTACCTTCACATAATGGGAAGACAACATGAGGCACAGCTACAGTAGGGAAATCAAGAGCCATAAAGGTAATTTGCAATAAGATCACAGCACAACGAGCCTTGTGAAACATAAGTAAGGTGATAAAAGGAACAATTTAAAAAATAAAGCAGAGTGTAATAGAAGGTAGTTAGAACACTGCTGAGGCTGCAATAAGAGCAGAAAATCTATAATTTAAGCCATAGCTCTAATGAGAAGAATTTCAAAAGATTCCAGAAATAAAGACATATTTGGAAATGTGTGAAAAAGAATTGACATGATTTATTAAGCCTGAAAGTTGGGAAATTATAAATTTTACCTGCAAGAAGGTGGGAAACCACTATTTGACTGTAGAAAAAGCAGGAAAGACCCCAGTAAACAGTGCAAATACACAGCATTATGATTTAACAGAGGTTAACAAAAATAAACTTAAAAGAAGGAAAGAACACAGCATTACTATACTGCAGAAAAGGAAAATAAAACAGCATTGCTATTTACAAAAGCAAATGTCTTCAAAGGAAAGCAATTAGAGCAGCAGAGTAGAATTTAAAAGCTTAAAAGTAAGAATAAATAATCATATTAGGAAGACATGGCAGGAGAAATATTTAATATCAGATGGAACAAACAGAACACAGGACTGGGCATCTCGGAGAAAACAGTTTTTAAGATACAGAATTGTTTTGAACTTAAATACACCAGCAGAAGCCGAAAAAGTGAATGCACAATTGTATTGAATAGAACCTCCAGGCAGTTGTATTGTCAACTAGCAAAACATAAAGAAGGCCCATTTTTTAAAGAAGTTCTCTAAGCTTTTGACAATTACTTTAATCTGAAGACAAATTTTTAATTGTCGAATTATCCAGATAAGGAAGTCAGAATTGTGCAAAGTCTCCAACTTTAATTAATTCAGAAACTTTTTCAAAGGGCCCTGGGAACAGGCAAATTGCTCATCAGAAGTTAAAACTTCCCAAGCATAGTCCATGTCTCAAGAATTCTGCAGAGTCTTGAAATGCATCTTTGAGGGTATGTCTGATCTCCTATGAGCCACAGAGTAGAGATCAGGGCCATAAAGTGTGTAGGGACTTAATGTATAAATAAATGCTGGGAAGATGTTTCTCTTGTCTGGGGTATCTAGAACAATGGTCTCACAAAATCAGGGTGGTATCTATCTAAGACTGCAATTAGGAGAAATTTCTTTATTCAGAGAGTCATGAGTCTTTTGAATTCTCTAGCTCAAACAGCTATGGATTCTCAGTCATTGAAGACAGAGAGAGATTCTCTTAGAATCAAAAAAAAAATCAGAGATTATGAGATTTGCACAGGAAGTTGAATTGAGATGGAATGGTGAAACAGGCTCCAAGGACCATGTGACCTACTCGTGTTCCTATTTCTTACTTTCTTAAGTGGTGATTTATGTGCAATAATGGAAAGCAAGTGCTGTCTAAATATCATATGATTGCAAGCAGTCAACATCTTAAGGAAAGATAGGGAAGCGTTAACCTCAATACAGAAAGTAACATAGTCTAGAAAATGCAGTTGAAATGAAAATCTACTAGTTGAAACTATGGCATTGCCTTCAGAATATCATAGTTACCATAGAGTTGGTTCATATCTTCAAATATTGTGTCCAAGTAGTTAATCATGTCATCAAGTATTTTCTGGTCTTCAACCATGTAAGAATTACTTACTGGTTCCTTGTCCATCTAATTTAACAAATAAATATAAATTACAACCCAAAATATTGGATGCAAACTTTTTTTTGGCCAATCATCAGTGTTATAAATGTAGAGAAAAAATGACATCATAAATATTATAAATACAATAGAATGGTGATCTCAAATTCTCAAGTGTACAATTAACTGTGTGCCAGACTGGAAATTGTATAATTCAAGTGACAATAATCTGACTGGGTTCAACTTTAATTGTAAGTAGTTTACCTTTACACTATTAATGCTATACTGAATTTTGAAAAGGTAACAGAGAGTTGATGAAGGGAAGGCAGTTGATGTGGTGTACATGGACTTTGAAAAGACATTTGATACATGCCCAGATAACTTCTGAGGAAAATAATAAGTCATAGAATAAAAGGAATGTGGATAAAAATATTATGAGAGATATATAAATATTAATAGTTAATGGGTATTTTTCAGGCTGGAAGAAGGTTTGTAGTGGGTTAGCATTGGATTGGGACTCTTGCTCTTTCTGATGTATATCTCTGATCCAAATCTGGGGATGAAGGACACAATTTCAAAGTTTATGGATCACTAGGGTGAGATTGTAGAATTGTAAACCATATAGAATGATATAGAACTTCAAAAAGGCATAGACATGTTGATGGAGTGGGCACATATGTAGCAGGTGAAAGACAATGCAGAGAAATGTGAAGTGATGCACTTTGGTACAAAGAACATGAAAATGCAGTATAAAATAAAGGCTACTATTCTTAAGGGTATGCAGGAGCAGAGAGACTTGACTGTATATGTACACAAGTCATTAAAGGTGATACAACAGATAGAGAGAGCTGTTAATAAAGCTAAATGCATTCTAGGTTTCATAAATAAGGACATGGAGCACAAGAGAAGGTGGGTTATGATGAATTTCTATGATATACCGGCTGGGACCTCAGCTGGAATATTGTGCATAGTTCTGGGTGCCACACTATTGGAATGCTATAAATGCAAAGGACAGAGTGCAGAAAAGGTTTGTGAAAATGGTTGTAGAAATGAGAAACTTAGGTTATGAGGGAAGATTAGAGAACATGGGACAATTTTCTTGGAGCACAGAAGGCTTATAACAGATTTCCGAAAAATTTTCAAAATCATGAGCAGTCTAGACAAAGTGCACAGGGAAAAACTATTCCCACTCATAAATGGATTGAGAACCAAGAGAAGTGTTTTGACGTTTTTGCAGAGGAAGCAAATGTGAGGTAGGAAAAGGCATTTTCACACAGCAAGTAGTTCTTTAGCTTGGATGGGTGTTTTGCAATGCAGAGTGCATGAACATTGTATGTTCAATTCCCACACTGGCTGAGGTTACTATGAAGAACTCTCCTTCTCAACCTTTCCCTTCTCCTGAGGTGTGGATGCCCTCAGGTTAAACCACCACATGTTGCCTTCTCCAATAAGACAGCAGATTTTACTTTTTACCTTCGTTATGGTCTGGAATGCACTGCCTGGAACTGTGATAGAAGCAGGTTCGATTAAGGCACGCAAGAGGGCATTGGATGAGAATTTAAAAAGAAGCAATATACAGGGTTACAGGGAAAAGACAGGAGATTAGTACTAAGTTAAAATGGTCAGAAAGCCAGTGTACACATGATGGGCTGAATGGCCTCCTTCTGTATCACAGCAATTCTGAGATTCTTTGGCATATTGATTAATTTTATTTAATCATAATAAGAGTTTTTTTTTAAAAGAGCATTAAGACTTGCCCAAGAATTTTAACTGAGCTGATCCTCAAGGAACTGAACTAAGGGCGGCATGGTGGCTAACACTGCTGCCTCACAGTGCCAGGGACCTGGGTTCAATCCCATCCTTGGGCAACTGGAGTTTACACATTCTCCCCATGTCTGTGTGTGGGTTTCCTCCAGGTGCTCCAGTTTCCTTTGCCCTGTCCAAAAATGTGCAGGCTAGGTGGGTTGCCTTGCTAAATTGCTCATGATGTCCAGGGATGTGCAAGGTAGGTGGGTTAGCCATGGGAAATGCAGGGAAGGGATGGGTGGGATGCTCTTCGGAGGATTGGTGTGGGCTCAATGGGCTGAATGACCTGTTTACACACTGGCCATTAACCAATAGTAATGCTTGTACAAACTGATCCCAGTTTCTAAGGTTCTGGAGTAGATCTGTAGCTCGGGTTGTGGGTGTTGAGGTTGATTGGCTCGCTGAGCTGGTTTGTTGTTTTGCAGACATATCGTTACCATGCTTGGTAACATCCTCAGTGCAGCCTCCATTGAAGTGTCGGTGTGTTTTCCCGCCTGGTTTTTAAACTCTGTGGTCCGTTGAGATGGATTGCCTCACTTCCGGTTTTCCTTCGTATGTGAATGCATATGGGGTCGAGTTCAATGTGTTTATTAATAGCATGCTTCGTGGAGTGCCATGCTTCCAGGAATTCTCGTGCTTGTCTCTGCCTAGCCTGTCCCAGGAGCTTGGTGTTGTCCCAGTCAAAGTCGTGGTTCTCCTTGTCCATATGGATTGAAATGAGTGAGTATTGGTCGTGTCTTTTTGTAGCCAGTTGGTGTTCATGTACTCTTGTTGTTAGTTTCCTTCCTGTTTGTCCGATGTAGTGTTTCTCACAGTCTCTGCAGGGGATTTTGTAGATGACATTGGTCCTGTCCATGGCGGGGAGTGGGTCTTTAGCTCGGGTGAGCAGTTGTCGTAGGGTTGATGTGGGCTTGTGTGCCACTCTGATGCCCAGCGGTCGTAGGAGTCTTCTGGTGAGGAAACTAATAACAAGTTAGTTTACAGAGTTTAAAAACCAGGCCGGAAAACACAGCTTCATCGGAGGTTGCACTGAGGATGTTACCAAGCAAGGTAACGAAACATCTGCAAAACAACAAACCAGCTCGGTGAGCCAACCAACCTCAACTGATCCCAGTTTTTGTGGGCCAAACCTCAGGGCAAGTCTCAGAACTGCTGAAGAAGTTCTCTCTTCACAGATACTGCCAGACCTGCTGATTTGCCCCACACTGCTTTTTTTTTTATTATTATTGTCTATCCTTAAATGCCCCTGAGAGAGTGGTGGACAGTCACTTGCTGAACTTCCGCAATTTGTGTGATAAAGGTACTCTCACAGTACTGTTCAGGTGGGAGCTCCAGGATTTAATCCAACCATGTAATCTATTTCCAAATCAGGATGCTGCATGAGGAAGGGAACTTAGGGATAATAATGTTCAATTTCACTTGCTGCATTTGTCCTTCTAGGAGATAGAGGCTGTGGATTTGGGAATTGCATTTTGCAGATGAAGTTTATTGCTGCCACAGTGCAGTTCTGATTAAATGTTGCATTAGATGGCTAATTGTTCAAAGCCAGCTGCTCTGTTCCAAATAGTGTTGAGCTTTGTATTTCAGGAACTGCACTCAATCAGGCAACTGGAGATTATTCTATCCTGACTTGTGCCTTAATGATGATGACGGATGGTCTTTCATGAGTCAAGAACTGAGTCAATCACCTCAGAAAATCCATTCACTGACATGTTCTTTTGCCGTATTTATGCAAGTAGTACAATTAAGTTTAAGTTAATGGTGCCCTCCAAGATGCTAATGATAGGCATTCATCAATGGTAGTTTTATTTAATAGGTAAATCTAGCTGTAGAAATAAATACGGTCATTTCAAGATCGCTGCATTGGTTCTGTACCTTAACGAGACTATGAAACAACACTGCAGAGATATTGTCAAAACTTGCAGAATTAAGAAATTGCATTTATATTGTGCCTTTTATATCCATACTGCATCTCAAAATACTTGAAGCATTGTCACTATTATCATGTGGGAAACTGTGACATATAAGCTGCACAAAGCACCACAAATAACTAAGTTTTATTGAGCTGTGTTGGTGATGATATAAATGTCATCCATAAAACCAGGAGAATTCCACACTGCTCTTTGAAACAGAAATATAAAGAAAGTTATACGTCCAAGCAGACTATTTACTGTATCTTCTGAAAAAAAACACTCGCACTGATAATGTACCACTGCGCCAGTACCACACTGAACAAATCTAAATTAAAAGCTGAATTTCAATATTAAAGTCTTTCAATCCACAACTTTCAGAGTCAAAGGCATAAAGTGTAACCATCTAGCTAAACTAGCACTAAACATTTTAGCTCAGGAACTTGGAGTGTTATACATACTTGTCAGTAGCCTATTTATAGGAAAGATTTAAAGGTATTGGAAAAGACAATGTAGATTTATTAAAATATTTTCAGGGATAAAGAATTAAAAATAAAGAGAGAACTTTTCTTTCATTGAAGCAGAAAAGTTGATGAGTCACTTTGTAACATTCTTCCAGATTATACTGCGTTACTGTGTCATACAAATGAACATAATGGTTGAATAGCTTTTTAGTTGTTGTGAGATTGTAAAGTGGTTAGAGTAGGGAATGCTTTACCATGTTTAATGGGAATAATTGATCCAGATCTTCCAGTCCCCTGATAGTCGAAGACCGGACAGACCCCTCAGAAGTCCTGATGCAGTGAGAATTGCCCAGAAATATAAACTTTCAACAGGTAAATCCCATGCTTCACAATACTCTCTGTAAAAGTCTCCAATTCTGAGTTGATGTCAGAGATTTGAGACAGATCGGACTTGTTTACCTGGACAGTTATCCAAGACATGTTAAAATATCAGACAGATTAAATCCATGCTTAACTCTTGGATAATGATGCAGCTGACAACCCCAATCCCCGCTCCTGAATCCATCTGGATCCTCCAATCGACATTTGGCCTTCCGACTCGCCTCCCCCAACCCTCCATCGCCATTCTGAAACCCTCAACCCAATTTCAACACCTGGCACACTACCCAGTCTGCTTCCTACCACATTATCACTGTACCACCCTACCCACTTACCTCAATCACTTAATTCAAGCACTGAAAAGCTACTTAACAGACCCAAAGCTTTTCATTCTGTTTATGAATGAACATGCTAGAATATGGCAGCTTATGCAATATTTTTACTAAAAAGGAAAACGTGATGAGTGGAAGAATTGGATTGACTAGATGGCTCGTATGGAAAAAATATCAGTGCAGCCTTACTTACATGTTACTAATAGGCTTCTTAACATTGAGAGCAGAGTCCCAGCTTTCAACCAATGTTGAATGACAAGGTAAGATTCTCATTAGTGAGTGCAAGAGGCTTATTTGCATGTGCTAACATCTCACTATTAGTTAACCTTGCTCATTGATATATAATTTCCAATTATCCCAACACTGGACAGGAACCAGATGGTGTAAATTTCTGACTTTGACCCTACTTGAATGTTCACAGTGTCTCTGCATTGTTCTTTTACCTTTTCTCCCCAGCCAAGACTTTAAAGGCTCACGGTACTTCTATCTTGACTTGCCTTTTAGTGCAGACACAAAGCCAAGCAGCTTGTTCTGTTGGTACGCAATTGGTCAAGGGACTGGACATGTTTTTATACGTTACCATATTTCGTCCATCTCACACTTGCGCCACATATGTGCCAAAAACATTGTATGGGCTTCAAACAAATAGCCATATTTAAGGGGTGTAGTTCTCAATCAAGTTGTGGGAGAAACCTTTCAATCAGGAGGTCCTGGCACAGTATGTTAAAAGCAGCCTCTGATAAGAGACCAGAGGCTTACTATGGTCGCTCAACTACTTAAGGATGGTCACTGTCAGGTGAACCATACCGCTACAGTTTGGGGAGTGGGCCATGTTCAGCCCATCAGAGCCAGTGCAACCAGTCTAGGGAGTTGCAGAAAGTCAGTTGGAGAGCTGTAGAGATATCAGACAAGGCTCTGAGTGCTCATTGTTCAGAATTGCTTGGTAAAATTGGTCAAGAGAGCCAGTCAGTCCTGGGGATCCACCCACTAACAGTCGGTGGGGTGGGATTAATCAGTGGCCAGTGCTACAGAAGGAAAGATGGGGAACTTAGTTTTGGGGATTGAAGATCTTGATCAATTGGGTCAATGTGCTGAAGAGTGGTAAATGGAATTTAATTTGGATGAAACAAAGACAAAACTTAAGACAGTTAAAAGTAAGATCTTGGACAGTGTTGTTGAATAGAGACCTGGGGGTCTGGGTATATAATTTTTTGAAGTTTGCATCACATATAGATAAGGTTGTTGAGAAGGCATTTCACAAACTTAGCTTTCATTGCTTGGACCTTTGAGTATAGGAGTTAGGACATTATGTTGAAGTTGTACAAGATGTTGGTGAGGCTTCTTCTGGAGTACTGTGTGCAGCTCTGATCTCCCTGTTATAGGAAGGATATTATTAAGCTGGAGAGTATTCAGAAGAGATTTATCAGGATGTTGCTAGGAATGGAAGGTTTGAGTTACAAGGAGACGCTGGATAGACTGGGATTGTTTTCACTACAGCGTAGGAGGTGGAGAGGTGACTTTATAGATGTTGATAAAATAATGGGGGGTATACCTGCTGGTGCAGGTAGGGGAAAGGCAATGAGGTATCTTGTGTGAGTGAGAAGGCAGCACAAAGGTCATGCTGAATTAGTAATGTGTGGATTTACCATGGATAAGTGAATAAGGGAAGATGTTGAATGGAGTAATGAAAGTGGTAGCCTTAGTGGAAGATACAGTGAATGTGAGGTAGCACAGAGAAGACAGTGGCACTTACTCTGGCAAAGAAAGCATGGGTAGAATGAGAAGAATTTTCTGAACTTGCCTTTCAAAAAGTTCCCTCATGCACACTGAAGTGCCAGGAACCAGAACGCTTTTAAAAACCTAGACCAACTCCATTTAAATTGAGGAGGAGCGAGACTTGTCTCCTGCTCAGAACAGCTGGCCTCGTCAGGAGTGTTGGGTGCAGACTTGCAACCCAAACTAGGTTGCACCCTTAAATGATACTGGCAAAAATCCAAAAGTCCTGGTGTGGGGGTAGGATTCTTGAATTGGGCTGCCTCTTTAAAGGGTTTCTGAGTCAAACGAATTTGGTGGAAAATTTGCTAAATTTTAATTCTTCTTCCTTAGAATACAAATATTTCCCATGCTTCTGTTCTTCCAGAATAAGATGACAAATAAACACCGGACCCACATTATTCCTGTCTGAAGAGCTAGAGTTCTTTCTATTTAGTATAGAAGCTGAGACTGAGTGAGAGTTGACTTCTCTCAATCACTAATGCATGCACTGATTTTCGGTAACATTACCAGCCAATTCAAATGTAATCAATTTCACAGGATTCAAACTTCTTATTATCTAGCCATCTCTATTAATTTATCTACATCTATGATATGGGCAATCATAGCAGGCCATACAGCCAACTTTCCAAAAACTTGACACGTGATTGGCAATGTCATTCAGTTCCACCACTCAAGTCCCTTTCAGATGCATTCAACCCAAGGAATTGTTTAGTAATGATGATGAACATGCACTTGGTAATTCACAAATAACAATAATATACCTTTGATGAAATGAGTTAGGTACGGGAACCTACTGTCATAAGGGATAAATCTTTACCTTGTTCATCTGACGGAGTCAAGAGGTCCAAACTCCACCAGGACTGCAATAAGAAGAGCTTATCTGATTGCAGTTGCATCAAAAAGTCACTAGCCATCAACCTGGAACAGCTATAGATTATAGTGAAGGAATGTAAAACACATTACATTACATCCCGGACAATGCAGCAAGACCAATTAACTCTGCAGTGGAGACTCCATAGACTTAGCTCTACTACTACAACATGACATGCCCCCCAATTTTTCCAGATGCAGTCAGATTAGACTGATAGGGACTTCATAGTTCACAAAGCTGTCATCTGATATGTTATTCCATATCCAGAATCTTCTACAATTTCCTTCCACTGTGTGCACAACAGAAAGCAGACAGAATCAGGTAACTGTTGCATTACTTAAGATAATAGTAAGTTGCATCTACCTCATCACTTAATTCAAGCAAGTGGCTTCACCTCAGTCCCAAAAGGTTCCAGTTGGCAATCAGAACAGCATCCCAGACACTGATAGAAACGTATAAGAACAGTAGTCAATTATATCCCAGAGCACATAAATTGTAGTTCTGCTCAAGAAACATTTAACGGCAGAAAGGAATACAAGTAGTATTGCAGATAACAAAGTGTAGAGCTGGATGAACACAGCAGACCAAGCAGCATCAGAGGAGCAGGCAAGCTGACGTTTCGGGTCTGGACCCTTCTTCAGAAAAGAAGGGATGCCGACCTTGAAGAAGTTACCCTCCTAGCTTTCCTGCTCCTCTGATGCTGCTTGGCCTGCTGTGTTCATCCAGTTCTACACCTTGTTATCTCAGATTCTCCAGCATCGGCAGTTCCTACAATCTCTCAAGTAGTATTGCAGGTATTTTCTTATCAGCCTATTCAGGGAGTTATGGCAAACCTCTGGAATAGGTGGGACCTGAACTCAGGTCTCCTGGCTCAGTGGTAAGGCACCAACACTGTACCAGAAGAGCACCCAGATAATATTGTACACCTAGTTTGCATCTCATAAAAGCCTATGTTCCTCCATGAACTCCTAGAGCTGTGAAATGGATGTATAATTAGCATTGCTGATTTTCTCCTGGACATTCAACAACCAATTTTCACTAAAGCAGTGAAAAATTATCCTTCTGATGATAGTAATTTTAAAGTTCCAGTAATTAACTGAATTTATACTGTTTAAATTCACTTCCCAACTCCCAAAAATTAGCTGCTCAAAACAACAATGAGTCCAATCAACAATTATAAAGCTTTTCTTTTAATGTCAATAAAATAAATCACAAGTGTAGGCACAATACATAAATTGATGTATGTCATGTACGTATCAAAGCAGGCAGCTCCACCAAGTTGAATAATACTGGATGCTCTGAACAAGTAACAAACATTGGTGAATCAAAAACTGCAGAATACAGAATGCAAAATTTAAAGGATCATGATTATTTTTTGTGTCAAACGGTTTCTGACTCATTTTCTTTAGGTTCGGTTAGCATTTCCATACAGTCCTTTGTCACTGACTCTTTGCAGTTCAGATATGCTTCATTCAAACAAATCATTGATTCCACAACTGAAGGGTCTGTACGTAGGATAACCATGTCATAGGTCATACAGGTTGCTTGCACTAGAAATTGTTAACAAATAACTTAATTAGCAAAAAGATGGAAAAACAATCCTTGCCTAAACTAGCAGTTTTCTTAACATCTGCAAAATAAATATAATTACTGCCGGTCAATTCACAGATATGTTTTCAATCTTCATTTTCTTGAACATAATTAAAAAGTCAGAAGTCACATCTTTTTACCAAACATCTTACCTGTGCAGATAATAACATTTCTTACATATTTAGTTATTTGTCTAAATCTTCAGATTCTTACGCACTATGTATCAATATCCACACAAGAAGCATGTTTTCAAGAATGTGCAAAACAAAGCCTAGTAAACGTACAAAAGCTTAGATAAGATTAGTACCAGACTCAGTGCAATAAAAATCTGGGGTTTGGATGCTGTCAGGATTCATCAGCTTGTTCCCGCATGTGGCACAAAGAGCACCGGAGTGAATGTTAGAGATAGAAAGTGAGTTCATGTTGTTTTATGCCATTGTGGACAGTAGTGCGGGTGAAACTGAAGACACAGGTACTCTAGTTTTCAAGCTAGTATTAAAACTATTGTGCAATTGCAAACATTGATGGAATCTTCAAGGAATTTTGCCAACAGTTTAGTGAAAAAAGGTTAAAAACTCTCTATTTTTGTCTCATTTACAAGAAGGGACAACAGAATTTGAACTGCTCAGAGGATCTATATTTCCAATGGGATGGCCACCCTCCATCCTTTTTACTTAAATCTTTTTCAGAAGAAGGCAATGGGGTCCACATCTGCAAAACCCCTCCCCATCTCCAAACTTGGCTCTGGAGTCGGGTGCATTAAATTCCACTATTATCTAAGATTTTCATATAAATAATGGTTCCTGAGTATTTGACCAATAGGCATGTTTGGTTTAGGTATATTTTCACTGTGCGGGCACTGCAAGTAAATTGAGATATACTTCAGCTGGAAGGAATTCCACTCCTGCCATGCCCAGCAAGGATTTGGCCATAGTCAATGCATCTCACAAGTCAATATGCATCATTATAGATGCAATCTATGATGGTCCAGCATGCATATAACAAAAGCAATAGCACTACATTAAAAGTCATTGTGTAGACTATCGGTGCTCAAGCAATGCTTCTGCTACTGTGTCTACTCTGAAGGAACTCTTCTGTACCCTAAAGATGTATCACAAACTAATAAGGTCTACATGCCCTGCAGTTTGCTACAATGAGGTCATTGTCCTTGCCAACAGATGCACAGCCAGCACAGAGAAGCAGCATGGAGGACACAACTAATATCCACTTGCTGGTCAGGCTCATCCGACTGCAGCAACAGTGAAAACAACTCCATTCCCCATTCATCAATATTCCCACACCTTATCATCTCTCAGTTACTGAACATCACAAGATCTCATTCACAATGACGCTGAAAAAAGATAAAGAAAAACATTCTAAATCACAATTAGAAATCAAACCATTTAATTTTTTAAATATAAAATTTAACCAATCATTCTTGTGCACTACCTTACCATGCCTGTCCTAGTGTTTCTATTCAGAGATAGTCCAGTGTCGACAATATCTGGGGAAAAGCTGGTGATTTTTAGTGGGGGATCTTGCAAACTGCCCTGTAGAAGAGCCTCAAACAGTTCTGGCCTGAAAAAGCCCAGTCTTAGACTGTACCACAACTACCTAGGTAACAGGTGGTCTGGGTTGGCTGACAGTACTGGGGAACCTGTACAGTGGCAGTGATGGAAGGATGGACATTGCCTTCTTCGACAGTACAGCAGATTCTTGTTCCACAGAGCCACTACAACTCTAACAAAGCAACCCCTGAGCAATCCTAGTAATCTGTTAAGAGAATGGATTACTGGCAGCTGGAAGAACTTGCAAGGCCCTTTCTATGTGCACCTGTAGCAGTAGTAGTCTCAATTTGTGTGACCGAACTCTGATGGCATATTTCAGTCTGAACTTTCATTGCAGCATACAGATGTTGGAAGACTTCTGTTCTGCTGTAATTGATGCTGAGATATTGGCTACCATACATTGCATCAGGGTTGAGTTTATAAATATGTGAATGGAGTTCATCATCATGCACATTTTGGAAAATGATTTCCAAGCTTTGCACAAAATGCTGTGTCAAGCTGATGACAAACTCATCCATGCTCCTTGATACTATCTTCAGGTTTTCTGAAGGGCCTGGTAGTCCATCAAGATTTCAGTGTATGCATCCATCAGCCTTCCTTTGCAAGGCAAATCACTGAAATGTTAAACTAAGTTGTCTAAAACAAATTCGTGTGTGACCATGCACTATAGCTAACTGGCAGTCATTCTACCCTTGATCTTGTTCTGGCTGGAACCTGCTCATATCTGGTATCTCACCATGATCTTCTACACATTCCTCTAAATTACATGGTGTTAATATGAGTTAGCTGCTGAAATGTGAAGTTGAGTGATGCACCTTTCTTCATCTACAATTTGAAAAGAAAGTATTTCTTCCTTGAGTGTACTATACAACATATTTTTGACTCAATGCAACATTTTACTTCTTGCTCTAAAACTTTTAGAAACTGCAAAATAGCCTTTAGAGAGACTAGATAAATTATTTGGGGTCAAGAATAATTAGCAGGTTTAACTGCTTGCTTTTTTGGGTAAAATGCATAAAGCTTACCTAAATTTCAACTCAAGCATACATTTGCAGAGATGTAAGTAGGAAGGACCCAACCATGCAAATAACTTAAAATTAGATAACTAAAAATAATTAGAATAGGAAAAGGTTAGACATTGTGACGGAAATGTTTTCCAGTAGTTTGAGCAAAGTTTCATGTTCAAATGAATCTTTGTGATGTTTTTCATGCACTATTATGTCACTCTTCAACAAGGAATTCATGTGACATAACGAGAACAAGCTATAAAATATCACCAGCCAGATGTCACTAAAAATAAATGGATAAAACTACCTAAGTATTCTGCCAGTCATGATCTTTATGCAGTTGAATACGTATTTCTTAAACTCTTACAAATGGAACAATCTGCACACATTCTCATGTCCTACAAAATATATATCTGTTTCTTGTACCTGCCAGCAGGTTAGTTTCCTTTCTGAACAGTCTGTGTGTGCTGTAGATTCCCCACATTAATTCTAAAGTCAATAGGTGCTTTCCCATTCATACATACTGCCTTTTATACAGGAAGAATCCTTTCAAAATAGGGCTCAGAAATCAGGCCCTCAACCTCTGACAAGAAGCTTCTTCCATTATTTTTCATTGGGTAGTTTTATCAAATTGATGGCTCTCGTGGCACAGTGAGCGGAAGGCCTGGATTCAAGACTCACTTGCTCCAGTGGTGTGCACTAACATCTGTGAATAGGCTGGTTGGAAAATATCTACGTTTATCGAACACACTTTCTAAATCACTCGGCGTGAATGTAGCTGCATTGCTGTTTGCCAGAGTGAGGTTTAATGATGTGATGTGCTATGAAAGGCTTTTATTTACAGTAGTTATGTTGATCATTGCTCTGTGCTTTAGCTACCACTGTCACACCCGCAGAAACAGGAGAAAAGTGCTACCAATGTGTCAATGTAACATTGTTGGATGCAACTGTCGCATTTTACTGACATAAACTTGCTATTCAATGTGTGACTATGTGACTCCATTATCTGGAGACTATAATAAGGTTGTGTGCCACAATTCCTGAGCCAAGTTCCAGTATCCTGCTTTCACAACCTGCTGCTCCAAAGTTTCAACAGTGCATTTTTGAGGCCTGTTGCACATAAGCAAATGCAAAATCTGTATTAGTTCTCTTCATCTACATCCTCACCTATATTGTATAACTCCAATTATAAGTAGAGGCTCACACTCAACAATTGACACTGGCAGCATTGCTTGACACTGGCAGCATTGCATATACCAAAGCTTATGTCAAGTAGTTATTTGTAAATTTGAGATGACAGAAACATACATTATCTAAGTTAGAGATAGTAAGAACTGCCGATGCTGGATAACACAGTGTGGAGCTGGAGGAATACAGCAGGCCAGGCAGCATCAGAGGAACAGGAAAGCTGACGTTTTGGGTCGGAACCCTTCTTCAGAAATGGGGGATGGGGAAGGGAGATCTGAAATAAATAGATTGCATATAAATAAATAAATAGAGGAGACCACTTTGTAGAGCACCTGTCCTTGGATCGCGACAAACATCAACACCTTCCATTTGTGAACCACTTCAACTCCCCCTCCGACTCCCTGACGACATGTCCACTCTGGGCCTCCTCCAGTGTCACAACGATGCCAGCTGGAAACTGGAGGAACAGCAACTCATATTCCGCCTTGGGAGCCTACAACCCAATGTTCTCAATGTGGACTTTACTAGTTTCAAAATCTCCCCACCACCGGCCTCATCCCATGACCAACCCTGCCTCCTTGACCTATCTGCTCCTCCCACCTCTTTGAGCTATCCCCACCACTGCCTACCTGCATTCACCTATCACCATCCCACCTCTCTTCCCCAGCTCCTCTCATCCCCGCCTCCTTGACCAGTCCGTCTTCTCTCCTAACTATCTCCCTCTCGTCCCCGCCTCCTTGACCCGACACAACCTATCCGTCTCCTCTCCCACCTATCCGCTCCTCCCACCTCACTGATCAATCCCGACCACTGCCTACCTGCACTCGCCTATTACCATCCCACCTACTTTCCCCAGCCTTACCCTCCTCTCTCTATTTATTTCAGATGTCCCTTCCCTATTCCCCATTTCTGAAGAAGGGTCCTGACCCGAAACGTCAGCATTCCTGCTCCTCTGATGCTGCCTGGCCTCCTGTGTTCCTCCAGCTCCATACTGTGTTATCATTATCTAAGTTATACATGAAGGTTGGAGATTCATTAATAGGGTAAGAGTGGTAAAAACTATAGTTTAGCCTAATATGAAATCACAGCAAGCTAGATAAAGAATCTAAGTAGATCTGGGTGAGAGGGAACATTTTATTTTTTTACTAACTGTTGTTGTGCGTAACTTAAATTATAAGGTGATGTAACTGAGCATAC